TTACTTAAAGAGATCTATGGTGTTATTTACCCTTGGAAAAATGGGCAAATTATGCAAATGGTCCTTGTAGTTTACATAATTTGTCAATTTGGTAGTTGTTGTTTCAATTTACTCGATTTTATTCCTTAATTTAACGGATTGTGTCATTTTAGTGTAATAAATAATAGTTGTTAAGTTTGGTGGACGGAAAGTCTATACAATGTATCAATTTGGTCCCTATAGTTTACAGGAACCAAATTGACACATTGTGTAAACTACAGAGACCAAATTGACACATAGTTTGATTTTCCATCCACCAAACTTAACAACTGTTATTTATTGGACTAAAATGACATAATTCGTTAAATTAAGGGGCAAAATCGAGCAAATTGAAACAAGGACCAAATTGACACATCGTATAAACTACAGGGACTATTTGTATAATTTACCCTAGAAAAATTATACAAACAATCTCAGAATTTGACCCTTATAACAAAATAAACTCTGATTTTTTAATTTTGTCAATTTAAATCTAAATTTTGATTTGTTTTCAATTTAAATCATGTGCTTATTTTTCTTTAAGTAAATTGATGGGGAAAAAAAATTATATCATTAAACTTAAACAAAAAGATTTTTTTTTTATAGTTTATGTATAACTACATTGAGTTTAATAACTAAAATATATTTTCTTTCTATCAATTTTAATTAATGAAAATAAATTGATGAATTAAATTGAAAAGAAATTGAAAGATCAAGATTTAAATTAACAAAATTAAAAATTTAGAATTTATTTTGTTATCATGATCAAATTTTGATATTAAATACCAATTAAAGCATAATTGGAATAATAACCATAATAAGGCATAACCAACAGACATCAAAATAGGTCTAACCAACGAGAGGAAGGCGAGCCTCCTGGGTGTGGACTAGTATTATTCATAGGAGTATTTTGAGTATTTTGCTTGAAGGAGTTAGATGGCAAGTGAACAATGGGGGTTCAGTTTCATTTTGGGACGACAAGTGGATTCCTTCTATTCCTGGGTTTAAACTTTGTTCTCCACGACTAGTTAATTGTGAAGTATCTAGAGTGGTGGATGTGATTGATTTGGTACACAAGAGTTGGAAAGTTGATTCCCTTAACACCACAGTTTCGGCAAAGGAAGGTGAAACTATTTTTAATATTCCAATTTTGGAAGAGGATATGGAGGATTCTTTGGTTTGGCAGTTCGAGTCTAAGGGCTCTTATTCAGTGAAGTCGAGTTATCATGTTGCTTTAAAAGAGAAAGAAATGAAGCTAATTCAAAGACCGTATTCCTTTTTTCAGCTTCCTAAGAACTTTTGTGTAACAATCTTGACCTGTGATTAGCTAATAATTCATGCTTAAGAATGTCTAATGAGTAATTAAGATGAAATTTTGAATTAATTACATATGTATTGCATTATTTGAGTTTATAGCTGTCTGTCGTAGAAAGATTTGTCCACGTTTTTGTTTTGTTATGTGAATTGAAGGCCTTATCAGCATTTGATCACAAAACTGACTTGGTTTATGTGTTATTTGGAATTTCTAGAACATTATGGTAGGTTCAATTAAAATTTGATTCGGAACCAAATAATTAGAATAAAATAAGAATAATTGTTTACTAAAGCAATGATTTATTTAATCCCACTAATGGCACATATATAAGCCCAATGTTGCCTCATACCACCAATATACACACCCTTAACCATCTTTATGCCATAAAATGTGTGTGTGTGTGAGAGAGAGAGAGAGATAGAAAGAGAGAGAGAGAATTGAATTCAAGGAAAGAAAGAAGACTTGTGGAGAATTGAAGGTTGTGAAGTTAGAGAATCAAGGGATTAAGCCTTTAGAGCTCAGTTTGGAAAGCCTAGGTAAGAATTCAACCCTTAGACTATATAATTATGATATCTAGGACATGAATTCTAGAGAATTAAGTTGAGTAATGCAAGAATTGAGCTAATGTAAAAGAAAGGAAGATCATAACTTGCATTCATGCATTTTCATCACATTCTGAGTTTGAATTTCAACCAAATCTCACATGCAAGTGTCTATCTTGGTTTTGTTTTAAGGCTTAATCAAGTTTCTCATCATCTTACCTTATTTGATCTTGTTTTGGATGGTTGAGCTCATGTCAAGTCATGCATGTATTTTACTTTGAATTTCAAGTTTGACTTTGAACAATTCACTTGCTTTGAGGCCTTGGTTTTGCAAAATGATCTTTAATTCTTGATGTTTGACAAGTTTAGACTTGTTTTCCCAAGTTTTAAGCTCAAATGATGTGATTTAAAGCTTTCAAATTGAGTTTTGCATCTTGAACCCCAATCTAGAAATTCTAGAATTCTGCATCACTGCTCGAGCGACAAATTCTGCTCTCGAGTGACCACTCTTGATTTTGCACTTTCGCTCAAGTTACCAAAAGTTGGCTCGAGTGTAAAATTCATGCTTCTAGTACTTTTGTAGACATGGCTTTCCGCTCGAGTGACACAAGTTGCGCTCGAGCATAAACCTTTTTCTTCTAAGTCCAGGCTCGAGCGAAGAAAGCCACGTTTGAGCGTAAATTGAGAGCTCCCATAGGTTTTACAGAGTTTTGCAGTCCGCTCGAGCAACCAAAGGGGCTCTCGAGCGAAGACCCTATTTCTACAAATTCAACTAAGTGTTACAACATATATTTTGGTATCTTCATTGCATCCTAAGCATTTTTAAGTTTTAATTAAGACATGATAATGGGCACCAGGATTAGAAACACACCAAGATAGAGAAGAATTAAGTTCAGTGCTTTTCGAATGTGTGTTCCAACATGCATCGGCTATGTGTTTGTGTAGGTCACGTGCCATAGACTATCCGACTTGTCCGCCTTATCTGTTTTGCCATCAGAGCTATCTGTGAGTAATAACTCTATAAAGTTATGTTTGACTTTAATTATTTTCTGATGATATGAAATGATCAGTTTTCTGAAATGCTATATTTTACATGAATTAATGATTGTTCAAGTTTCTGAAATGTATTCGTGGCATCCTTAGCATCATATGATATGCATCCCTTTATAGGTCATCAAAATGCCTTTATGGTCGTCACTTTATGGGTCATCAGAATACCTTTATGGCCATCTTTTTATGGGTCATCGGAATGCCTTTATGGTCGTCCCTTTATGGGTGATCAGAAATGTCTCTGTGCATATGAGTCATCGGAATGCTTTTATGACTGTCCCTTTATGGGTTATCAGATTTGTTAACGCTAATGGATGTACCACGTATGATCATGTAAAATGTATGAACTTTGAACATGAATATGAATATGTATTTGTTCCTGAATATGAATCTGAATTCTGAATGTGTTACGACGTCATTCATTAAAACCTTTACTCTGTTATTATTCACTAGGTTCTAGCTCATCGTATTATTTATGTATGTAGGTGATCCGGTGCGTAACCAGGTCTAACCTGTTGCTTGGCAGTCAGTTTTGTCCAGCCAACCACAGTCCCTCCCATGGAGGTTCTGAAACCTGCTTATGGTCAATGTTTTATGATCTAGAATTCCATTTAAGTTCTTTTGTCTTTGGTTGTACTTGTATGTTGGGCCAAGTCCCATTTTGGTTATCTGTAAGTAAAGTGATACAAGATTGTGGCTTTTATGACGTCGTGTTTATGTATGTAAAGTTTTAAATTTTTGTCCCATGTATGTTTACACAACTCTATGGATGTTATATGTTTGTATTTGCTTCCGCTAGCCCTTGTATTTTGTTCAATTCGTTCAATTCGTTCAGAGGCTTTTGGTAATCTCAGGGTTACTGGTCGGTTATGATGCTAAACATAAAGGACGGGTTTAGGTCGTGACAGAGTAATATCAGAGCACGTGTTCTACTGCACACACGAGTCTATATGAGCTTTAGGGTGTTCTAGAAAGAATTAGAGACGTTACATCTGCATGTGTGAGTGTGTCTGAAGTATATGAACATACCTGAACCACTATACATTGACACGGAAATGGAATGAACTCAAATTGAATATTGTGAAAAGAATTATTAGCCTAGTTTTATCAGTGCTCTGTTTACCTATAGCAAATGGAAAATATAAGAAGTGATGGTATAACTACATCTTTCGAGACTCAGATGAAGAAAATGGAATGAATGCTTGAAGCTTTGACAAAAGCAATAATGCAAGAACAAAGCAGAACTAGTAAACAATAACATCATCAGTTTGACTCAGAAATTCAATAAGATGAAGCCACCGATTTTCTTGGGTGGAATTGAACCTTTAAGGCTGAAACGTGGATGTTAGAAACTGAAAGTTATTTGAAGTCTTTTCATGTACCAAGACTCAGAAAGTTTTATTAGCCACCTACACTTTAAAGGATGAAGCCGCGTTGGTAGATGCTTATCTGTGATAGCAGTGGGACTTTGACTTGGGATCAATTTAGAGAAATCTTTTATGAGAAATACTTCCCTTAGTGTTTCCGGGATAGGAAAGTGTCTAAATTTCAAGAACTCAAGTAAGGCAAAATGTCAATAGCAGAGTACGAGGCCAAGGTCAATGAATTAGCCAGTTTTGCCCCACACATGGTAGACACAGATTATAAAAAAGCTCAAAAATTTGAAGGAGGACTAGATCTAGAAGTATTTGATCGGGTTGGTGCGCTGAAACTACCCAAATATGTGGATGTGCTTGACAGAGCCCTCATGGCTGAAACCAACTTAGCCGCAATGAAGCAGACTAAGGCCCTAACAACCGAATGGAGAGGCAAGAGGACCAGATTGAATTTCAAGAATGGTCAGTCATTTGCAAAGAAGCAAAACACAGGATCCTCTAGTAGCTCAAGTCAAAGTAGTGGCTTTACACCAACTTGCTCAAAATGTTGTAGGTAACACAACGGTGTTTGTTATCGAGCAACAGGTGCCTGTTTTCGATGTGGTAAAACTGGCCACATGATGAGAGATTGCATTGTCGGGGTTCGACAATGCCAATCGCAAAATAACAAGTTCAGCTGGATCAGCTTCTGCATTAAGAATGAATACAAGGGCTAACATTGGGAGAGAAACCGTAAGGCAGGGACGAGTATTTGCACTCGGTGATATGCAGAACACTGAAGCTGTGGTGTTAGGTATAATTCCCATTTGTGCTAAGAATGCGTATGTGTTGATAGATTCTAGCTCTACACATTCTTTTGTATCGCATGCATTTTCTCAAAAAACTGACTAGACCATTAGAACCTATGAATTATTTACTGTCTATATCTACACCATCTAGAGGTTCTATGATGTGTGCTTATGTTTATCTGGCATATGATGTGGTGAGTGGTGATATGACATTGTATGTTGATTTGTTGCCACTAGATATTGATCATTTTAACTATATACTTGGTGTGGATTGGTTGATGAAGTATTGTGCAACTATTGATTGTATGAATAAAACTGTTATGTTTTGACCACCTGGTATACCTGAGTTTGTATTTGTTGGGATAGGATAATTCCTTCATCGTACTTGATTTCAGCCAGAAATTTGTTGAGAAAAGGGTGTCGGGGTTACTTGTGTTGCATTTTAAATGTGACTTCTGATAGCCCTAATGTGGAAACTATTCCAGTAGTTAATGAATTTTCTGATATCTTTCCAAATGAATTGCTTGAGGATCTAATTGATAGGGAAATTGAGTTTACAATCACTGTAGTACTTGGAACACAACCTATTTCTAAAACCCCTTATTGAATGTTAACCTCAGAATTGAAAGAATTGAAAATCCAACTTCAAGAACTGCTAGACAAGAAATTTATCCGTTCGAGTACTTCACTTTGGGGTGCTCCAGTCTTGTTTGTTAAGAAGAAAGGTAGGTCATTAAGGTTATGTATTGACTACCTTGAATTGAATAAAGTAACCTTGAAGAATAAATATCCATTACCCTGAATAGATGATTTATTTGACTAACTCCAGGGAACCTAGGTGTTCTCCAAAATAGATCTTAGATCTGGGTATCACCAACTAAAAGTTAAGGCAGAAGACGTAAAGAAAACCATATTCCGGACTAGATATGGGCACTATGAGTTTTTAGTAATGCCATTTGGGATAACTAATGCACCTGTAGCATTTATGGACCTAATGACTAGGGTTTTCAAACAATTCCTTGATGAATTTATAGTTTTATTTATTGATGATATTCTAATTTACTCCAAAAGTAGGAAAGAACATGAGAATCGTCTGAGAGCTGCCTTACAGATCTTGAGAGAGAAGAAGCTGTATGCAAAACTTTCCAAATATGAATTTTGGCTTGACAATGTAGCATTTTTGGGACATGTAATCAACAAAGACGACATATCAATTGACCTGCAAACAAATTGAGGCTATTGTGTATTGGCCGAGACCAACTATTGTGTCCGCAGTTAGAAGTTTTCTGGGACTTGCTAGCTACTACCGCAGATTTGTAAGAGACTTCTCTAAACTTGCCATGTCATTGACACAGTTGACTCAGAAAAATATATTATTTGATTGAACCGATCAACGAGAATCAACCTTTCAAGAACTGAAGACTAGACTGGTAACTGCACCAATTCTGACTTTGCCTAATGGTATTGATGGGCTTCAGATCTACAGTGACACTTCATACAAAGGCTTGCGGTGTGTGTTAATACAGAATGGGAAAGTGATTGCCTTTGCTTCTTGTCAACTCCGACCCTATGAAAATAATTATCTAACTCATGACCTTGAACTAGTAGCGGTGGTGTTCGCCTTGAAAATTTGGCGACACTATCTCTATGGTGTGACTTGTGAAGTATACATTGATCATAAAAGCCTCAAATATTTCTTTACTCAAAAGGAACTGAACATGAGATAGAGACGATGGCTTGAGTTGATAAAGGACTATGACTTGCAAATTCTGTATCATTCGGGGAAAGCCAATACCGTTGCAAATGCTTTGAGCTGAAAATCTGTTGGGAATTTGTCATGTTTACTCACCGGTTAGAAAAAACTGTTATGTGACTTAGAGAGAAATGAGATGGAAATTGTGTTACGCGAACATAGTGGAATTCTAGACGCCATCTCTATCTAACCTGTAATTATTGAAGAAATTAAAGAAAAGCAACTGCAAAATGAATTTTTGAAGAAGATTGTTGATGGAAATGAATCAAAACTGAGGCCGGGGTTTGTGTATGAAAATAATGTGTTGACTTTATGTACCGGGCCATTTTGAACTGAGAAAACATATTATGACCGAAGCTCACAACTCAAAATTTGCTATGCATCCGAGGAATACAAAGATGCACCATGATTTGAAACAAAATTTCTGGTGGCCTAGAATGAAGAAAGGTATTGCTGATTTTGTGGCTAGGTGCTTGCATTGCTAACAGGTAAAAAGCGAACATCAACGACACGTTGGACTACTACAGCCGCTTCCGATACCAGAATGGAAATGGAAGCATATTACGATGGACTTCATTGTTGGGTTGCCTTGCTCTTCTCCAGGTATGGACTCTATTCGAGTAATTGTTGATCATTTGACTAAATCTTCAAATTTTTTACCTGTCAAAACTTTTTATAATGCGGATAAATTAGCTAACATGTATGTGAATGAGATTGTGAGATTACAAGGTGTGACAGTATCAATTTATCTGACAGAGATCCTAAGTTCACTTTAAGATTTTGGCAAGTTTATAGCAAGCTTTGGGAACTGGGTTAAGACTGAGCAGTGTTTATCATCCACAGACAGATGGCCACTTTGAACGAACCATTCAAATCTTGGAAGATATGCTCAGAATGTGTGTGTTAGATTTCCAAGGAAATTGAGAGACCTACTTACCATTAACTGAATTTATGTATAACAACAATTATCATTCAAGTATCGGTATGGCTCCTTATGAAGCTTTGTATGGTAGGAAATGTCGTTTTCTAATCTGTTGGGCTGAGGTAGGTGATAGACTTTTGTTGGGACCGGAACTTGTGCAAGAAATGACTAAAAATGTGAAATTGATTCAACAGAGACTGAAAATTGCATAAAGCCGTCAAAAGAGTTATGCGAATGTCCGAATAAGAGATCGAGAATATAAAGCCAGGGATCATGCATTTATTAAAGTAACTCCTATGAAAGGGAAAACACGGTTTGGAGTGAAAGGCAAATTGGCACCGAGATATGTTGGACCATATGAAATCCTTGAGCAAAATCAATTCGGTGATGTATCGAGTAGCCTTGCCGCCAGTCATGGAGCATAGGCATAATGTTTTTCAAGTATCCATGCTTCAGGATTACCTACGAGATCCGTTACATGTTTTGAAGAATGACTATCAATATGAAGAGACACCAATTCAAATTGTAAATTGTTGAATCAAAAGATTGAGGAACAAAGAAATTCCATTGGTGAAAGTGGATTGGCAAAATCATGGAAGGACATATGCAACATGGGAAACAGAAGAGGATATGACGAAGAGATACCCTGATTTGTTCCCTTTGGACCCAATATTCTTCAAAAACAAAGAAAATTTAAGTTTGAAGGACCAAACTCTTTAAGGGGGAAGATTGTAGCAACCCCGACCTGTGATTGGCATATAATTCATGCTTAAGAATTCTTAATGAGTAATTGAGATGAAATTTTGAATTAATTACATGTATATTGCATTATTTGAGTTTATATCTGTCTGTCGTAGAAAGATCTGACCACGTTTCTATTTTGTTCTGCGAATTGAAGGCCTTATCAGTATTTGATCACGAAACTGACTTAGTTTACGTGTTATTTGGAATTTCTAGAACATTATGCTAGGTTCGATTAAAATTTGATTCGGAACCAAATAATTAAAATAAAATAAGAATAATTGTTTACTGAGCAAGGATTTATTTAATCCTACTAATGGCACCTATATAAGCCCAATGTTGCCTCATACCACCAATATACACACCCTTCACCATCTTTATGCCATAAAATGTGTGTGTGTGTGTGTGTGTAAGAGAGAGAGAGAGAGAGAGAGAGAGAGAGGCCTATGAAGAGTTGAAATCAAGGAAAGAAAGAAGACTTGTAGAGAATTGAAGGTTGTGAAGTTAAAGACTCAAGGGATTAAGCCTTTAGAGCTAAATTTGGAAAGCCAAGGTAAGAATTTAACCCTTAGACTATATAATTATGATATCTAGGACATGAATTCTAGAGCATTAAGCTGAGTAATGTAAGAATTGAGCTAATGTAAAAGAAAAGAAGATCATAACTTGCATGCATGCATTTTCATCACATTTTGAGTTTGAATTTCAATCAAATCTCACATGCATGTGTCTATCTTTGGTTTGTTTTAAGGATTTATCAAGTTTCTCATCATCTTATCTCATTTGATCTTGTTTTGGATGGTTGAGTTCATGTCAAGTCATGCATGTATTTTACTTTGAATTTCAAGTTTGACTTTGAACAATTCACTTGCTTTTGGGCGTTAATTTTGCGAAATGATCTTTAATTCTTGATGTTTGACAAGTTTAGACATGTTTTCCCAAGTTTTGAGCTCAAATGATGTGATTTAAAGTTTTGAAATTGAGTTTTGCATCTTGAACACCAATCTAGAAATTCTAGAATCCTACATCACTGCTCGAGCAACCACTCTTGATTTTGCACTTTTGCTCGAGCAATCAAAAGTTGGCTTGAGTGTAAAATTCATGCTTCTAGTACTTTTGTAGACATGGCTTTCCGCTCGAGCGACACAAGTTGTGCTCGAGCATAAACCTTTTTCTTCTAAGTACAAAAAAAGCCACGCTCGAGCGTAAATTGACAGCTCCCAAAAGTTTTACAAAGTTTTGCAGTGCGCTCGAGTGACCAAAAGTGCGCTCGCTCGAGCGAAGACCCTGTTTCTAGAAATTTGACTAAGTGTTACAACACATATTTTGGTATCCTCATTGCATCTTAGGCATTTTTAAGCTTTAATTAAGACATGATAATGGGGATCATGATTAAAAACACACCAAGATAGAGAAGAGTTAAGTTTGGTGCTTTCCGAATGTGTGTTTCAACATGTATCTGCTATGTGTTTGTGTAGGTCACGCGCCATACACTATCCGACTTGTCTGCCTTATCTGTTTTGCTATCAGAGCTATCTGTGAGTAATAACTCTATAAAGTTATGTTTGACTTTAATTATTTTTTGATGATATGAAATGATCAGTTTTCTGAAATGTTATACTTTGTATGAATGAATGATTGTCCAAGCTTTTGAAATGTATTCATGGCATCCTTAGCATCATATGATATGCGTCCCTTTATGAGTCATCGGAATGCCTTTATGGCCATCCCTTTATGGGTCATCGGATTTGTTAACGCTAATCGATGTACCACGTATGATCATGTAAAATGTATGAACTTTGAACATGAATATGAATATGTATCTATTCCTAAATATGACTCTGAATTCTGAATGTGTTACGGACATCATTCATTAAAACCCTTTCTCTGTTATTTTTCACTGGGCTCCAACTCACCATATTATTTATGTATGTAGGTGATCCGGCGTGTGACCAGGCCTAAGCTGCTGCCTGGAGGTCAGTTTTGTCCAGCTAATCACAGTGCCTCCTGTGGAGGTTCCGAAACCTGTTTATGGTCAATGTTTTGTGGTCAATGTTTTGTGATCCAGAATTCCGTTTAAGTTCTTTTGTCTTTGGTTATACTTGTATGTTGGGCCAAGTCCCATTTTGGTTATCTGCAAGTGAAGTGACGCAAGACTGTGGCTTTTATGATGTCACGTTTATGTATGTAA